TACTTATGCAATAGAAAACATATCTATTGGGCCAGTTCAAGTCACGGGTTACGCTTGTGTTAAGGTTGTGTCGTAGTGGTGTATAACTGGTGTTCTTGTTAGTGCCTTAACCTGAGCCTCTCGATTTCGCACTAGTGTTTACATCAGTGTCTAAACTAGTTTAATACCAGTGTTAACACTGGCGGAACATAACACTAGTGTTATTTTTAAATGTTACACTTTGTTTTTGTCTTCCGGTCTAACGCATTCAATTCTTTGCATGAACTGGCCCACACTGATCCGCAGTGAATATTTGCTAGACTCGTAATTCTCTGTGAAACAGATTGGAACTGGCCCACACTGATCCGCAGTGAATATTTGCTAGGCCGCTACAATCACTGATAAGGATGACATCGATGCGCTTAATGAGCCCGTAATATTAACTTTTTTCCTGCGACAAATTAAATTCTAAAACATTTTTTTTATGTATTGGAAAAATAAATAAAGGCGTTTGACGTATTTGTAGGTAAAAATTATTTCCTATTTAGTGTAAATGGGTATTAAAATGACTAAAATGCAGCATTCTCTCCGAAGCAGTAACGTCTTATGTAAACAATGCACGCGCCATTCAGCCAATGATTGACGCCGCGTGCTTGTGACGGCACGTGTTAAGGCAGTCATCTTTGACAGAGATATATTACTAGACTCGTAATTCTCTGTGAAACAGATTGGAACTGGCCAACTAAAAAAATAAAACACCAAAAGAAGGGTAATTGGGGAAAACTAACCGCTTCCAGGAAGTTAAGTAACTAGGATCTATGTTGAATTTTTGTAGTCTTATGGTCATTATTCAGTCGAAATTTCCTAAAGATTTCTTGTAAATTAGCAGGTCTGCGATCAACATTTCTTTGCCCTACGTTTTGGCCTTATATGGATAAAAAAAAGGGTCATTTTAAGCCTTAAAACTAAATCTAAAATCGTTAAAAAAAATTCCCTTCTTGCCGTCTGCTGTTTTACACCAATGTTGTAATAAATGACTTGAAATGAGATTTTCTTTAACCCCTAGGGGTTAGTGTTAGAGTTATTTTTAACAAGATAATAACTTTTATCAAGTTATTATTATCTAACAAGTTTTTATGTAATTAGAAATAATATTTCACAAAGCTCCTTGTCTTTATATTTTTTTCATGTAAATTTGTTTCTTTATTCGGGAAATTGAGGGGCTCAGGTATACGTTAGTGTTTGGGTAACGACACTGGTGTTCATGTTGTGTAAATATATCCATATTTAACAGTACCGCAACACCGCAGACCGTAACTCGGACTGATTCAAATACAGAGGGGGTCTGAGGTTGAGTTAGCACAGCGTTACACCAGTGCTTCACTGACCTAACTTGTGTTAGACACTAAACAACCTTAACCAGGACTTGAATTGACCCATTGTCTGTATGATATAGTGGGTTGTATGCGGGGAGTGCGGTTGCGGTCTATGGAAGACCAAACAGCTCTTTATTCAGCGTTCTTAATTCTTAGTAATTAATTCATAGTCCTTAATATTCTTATTTTTTCATTTGTTGTCGTATTTAGACATTTGAATATTAAAATTAACATTTGTATCTTAAAATTAACATTTGTATCTTAAAATTAACATTTGTATCTTAAAATCAATTTTTGTTTAACCAATCAGACATTTGTCATCAGATTTGTAAATTGTATCTTTGTTTAATTTAATTGTATTTTTATATAATGATAAAGTTTCTTTTAAAAAAAAGAAAAAAATATACATGTATTTACATTTCATGAAAAATATACAACGAAAAACAAATCTCAAACAGCCAATTTCTAAATACCAATCCTGCAAAACGAAGGTCACAAAAACATTTCTCCAAATTCATCTAACCTGAACATCATATTGACAGAGTTTGTTAGGTGGTGGGCTCTATAGCCTACCCCATATGTATTTATTCAATTACGTCTGTTCAAAATGACCTGTGCTTAAATTCTCTACCTTCTATTGTCTACTTGTAAAGTTAATGCCAACAGTTGAATGGAACGCCAAGATGCTTTCTACCAGGGCAGCGGTATGGCCGGGCTCTCAGTTTATCTTCCTGAACAGTTTCCAGATGCTTGAAAATATACTACGGTTGTTCATCGTCTGTAGGAAATACACAAGTTTTATTTGAGTTTTGAGAAAACGATGGTTATAATCTATTAACTGAAGCAGTAGACCGAATACTTCAGCTCTGATACTGGCACCGGAAATAGTGTATTAGGGCACCGGTATCACTTGATCTTTACGTCTGTTTCACGAATCTTACCTATCAATAAAAACTGGTATCACGGCATCTGGCAGAACTAATGAATTTTTTCTAACCATTTTTTTTATCTAACCAAATCCAAGTAAACACATATAAAAAGTATCGGAGGACGGCCTTTCAGAATATTAATTTAAATCTTTATTTTTTTTTTTATTCGTTTACCAAGCAATCGTCTGCAAACAGGGTTTTTTAGACACAAAATTAAAAGGTTACTTTAGAAATCCCTAAACATTGCCCAATTTCCGATGTTTATATTATTTTCATACAATGCCAGTTGATTTTACCAATCGTATGCCGATTTCAGTTTTAGAACCTTTGAACCCTACATCGACACGTTTACGACACATATATTATTACTTACTTGAGAACGACAAGAGGAACTTGTTGAAACGTAGTGTGAAATAAACCCAGTGATTGTTTTTCATATAAATTTGTGTTTTATATTATATTTTTCTTCCAGATTTATTTTTCGAAAGCTCAATCACAAATCTTGGGTACTAATACGTGTAGGTGTTTTTTTTTTCTTTGGATCTGTATATCTAAACTGTTGGCAATTTCTTCTATTTCCAGATGACTTCTACAATTTCACGTTTATCAGACATCTTTAATCTATTTTTCGCAAGCTAAATCACAAAATCTTGGGTAATAAGAGTGGCAGATTTTTTAATCTTTAAACAATTTATTATTATTTAAGAAGTCGGTTGTTGTATTCCAAAGTCTCGGCGGCGAATTACATTCAGCCTATAGTTTGGACCGAGTAGAAATTGAAACTTAAACTGCATTTCTCTCTCGGCAAATAAGACAGATAATCTCTGATTATGCTAAGCAGAGAATGATCACCATCAACATCCGTCAGGACATTTACCTAACGAGCATCTACACTAAATTTGAAAAGGCAGGCTTCTGATATCCAATATTTAAGACAAAATAAACATTTTACCATTGGTACACGAATCGTGTACCATAGTGCGTTTTAGCGTCATTTGCAACAAGTGACCAGAAAGAACGAGGCTAGACATATTCAACTGGACAGCCTGCTTAATAGACTGGAATAACCAGACGCTAGAAATTGATATAGGGTTGAGACACATGCTGTATTTCGCTGGACATAACTGATTTGAAATTAGAGTAAAAAAGGAAACAATTGAATGTAAATCAGTTTATATACAATCAGATTACATTATTATATGCGTTTCAACCCATTTTGGTCAATTTCTAGGTCCCAAATATTAGCGATTTAGCTCCTTTAAATTAGAAGTAGAGGTATTGTGTTCCAAGGAGTGTGATGGAGGGACAGACGACGAATCCATTTTGATATTCCACTGCTTTCTTCAAAAGGTACAAAAAGTATCACAGACCTTCAAATAGTTGCACAGGAGTGACACATAGGATTATACAATTAACGCTTTTGATTCACTTGGATATCTGGGATGGCTCCTTTAAAGTAGCCCGGGATCACGTGGCTAAGTGAGTAAGACGCTAGCTCGCTAGCCTGGAGGTTGGGTGTTCGATCTCTGCATTGACCAAGAAAGTTCATTCAGATTTTCCGGCGTGGTTTCCCCCTTGTCAGTGATGTAGGACCTGACAAGGACAGCTGTCTAGTCGTTCGGATGGGACGAACAACCGAGGTCCCGTGTACACATTGGCGTGCACGTAAAAGATCCCTTAGCAGTTGGAATTCGATATAAGAGTAGGCCGTAGTGCCGCTGTCCGGGCAAAATTTCCATCATAGCACACTGTATGGCGTATGCCCGTCTTCATTAGCCCAGTTTAGGAACAGAACAGTAGGACGTTAAACCCCATTTCATTTCATTTCTAACAGTAGCCAAGTCTCTAACTCAATATCATTCAAAGTCGTCGACATTGAAAACACGAATTATTTGTCAATTTAAATCAACATTGATGTTGTTATCTTACCGGGAAAAATGGGCTTCTGATATCTAATATTTAAAACAAAATAAATTTTTTACCATTGATACACGAATCGTGTACCATAACGCGTTCGGCGTCATTTTTAACAAGAGGCTCGAAGAACGAAACTAGACATATTCCACAAGTCGTGTCAACCGGTGACGTCATATTCTTATCTGGGGAGCATTCGCAATAAATACTATCGGTGCAGACAGGAATAACCAGACGTTAGAGATTGCCATTCGATTGAGACTTCTGGTGTATTTCGCCGAACATAAATGATTTGAAATTAAGAGTAAAAACGGAAATGATTGAATGTAAATCAATAGAATATTATATGGGTTGCGACCCATTTGTGTCAATTTCTAGGTTCCAAATAGTAGCGATTTAGCTCCTTTAACATATAAAATGTCGACTGTGCCATTTGTCCTCTCCTCTGCGACGGTTCCTCGACATTGTTACAGGTTTACTTTTGGGCTTCATTTGCAATCGAAATATGTTGACTTAATACAGGGGGGCTAACTCCATTTTGTCATTATTAGCCCTCTTGGCTAACATTTCCCTGGAAACTTGACGGTATCTTTTTACTCTCACGAAAGTATTTATACGGTAGTTATTTCCAATAAAGGTACGGTAAATTTGGTATAAATTGAAAGAGAAGATGCCCAATTCCCTGTAAAACACCCATGAGGCAATCACTGGGCAAATATGTCAAGGTATCAATTGACTGGCAACCATACCATCTTATTGTCTGCCAGCTTGTTATTTCTTGATCGCACGGTTAGGCGATTTGGATAACATAGAGGGGTTTAAACCTACAAAACAGTCTTCAATTAAATGGAGGAAAAGGAAGTTGGCAAAAGTTAATACAAGAATTTACTTAAGCTTCAATATGTATGGCAAATGGACAGTAAATAACCATAAATACATTCTCAAAATAGGCCCTCCCTCAATCAGGTTACATGATAAACATAGCTTCTAAAAATAGACTTTTTATATCTAAGAGTATTTCCTTGCGAATACAATGTTTTGAGAGGGATTTGAAGCAAATTTTTTAGAGATTAATTAGTTTGAATATGTTTTTAGTTCAATTATTTCATCAAATCAGAAGTTTGTATGTGGGAAGGCATTTTTAACACATCGATTAAGAAAAAGACCATGGATTGTGATGAAATATTTCATGCCATTGTCTCAGTTTATAAAAATTAAATTTCAAATTCCAATTATGAACATTTCTTATGTTATTCACATTATAATTATAACTTCAGGAAATTCATGCTTTCAGGGTTTACTTTAACTTCTATTTGACTAATACATTTATTATTATTCTAAAATTATTTAGTTAGTTGTTAATTCATTGAAAAGAGTGATTTAAGAATAGTACATAAAGATACATAAAGAATCTTATAAATTTTATTAACAGTCAGAAGAAAATAGAATAAATTATAAAGTATAACTTAACAAATACATGTAACTAGGCAAGCCATGGGAAAAGGTACATATTATTTGAAGATTATTAAAACTAAAACCAATATTGTACAGGTACCTTTTTAAGATAAAAACTGAAATATTCTTAACAAGGAGAATAAATAATTATTACATGGATATCTTTTGACTACAGATGTAGATTTGTTACATTCAATGGAGAATATTTGATAAGATTAATAAATCATAAATGTGAACAATAATAGGTATACTTCTACATGAATAGCAGCAAATTCACACCATGGATTTAAAGCTGAATATTGGGACATTTGTGGGTTATTGGCATTTTAGTTTTACACTGAACAATGTGATTCATAGCTTTCTACAAATTATCGCAGTAATTGTACAGGTATGCTGTTTTTGATAATATGGACATGGTACATATGTATATGTATACAATTATTAAATGTATTTGCTAGTTTGTGGACATAAAGGGAGAAAACTGGAATATTGAGACATTGACAATTACAAGTACATTTTGCAATATTTAGCTCATTGTTAATGTTATTAAGTATTGTTTAATGGTCGAGAGCGAGACATTAGGTAATATATTGTAACAAAATGAGGGCCGTGAGGCCCGAATCTTTTTACAATATATTACGCAATGTCTTAAGCTCGAGACCATTAAACAACTTAAAATACAGACACTTGCACGTGCTTTGCAATGAACTACGTCACTCGAGTTCAATATTTTACCAAGTTACGCTTGGCACATTGCCCGTACGATTATTTGAAATAATGGTACTCCAACTTCAAAGGATGACGTCACATCTGTATTTTAAAGTAAACTATTAGATGTTCTGAATTTGATCTTTGCAAACTAATTAGTGCTGTTCTAATGTCTTAAACATGTAAATGTTTCCTTTTTATAACCGTTCTATTATAATTCATTATATTATTGATAATACTGTTTATTGTCATTTTTGCTGATGTTTATAAATATATTATATACATATTGTAAATACTCTAGTCATTCAAATAATAATCCCAGTCAGCCTAATTAATACAATGTATGGTCCTTGTCAGTCATAAACTTGGTCTAATTCTGCCAGATCCCAATCAGTAACATACCTTCTACATTTATCATGTGAATATTTTAACAATACGTGTACATGTTGTAAATACTCAAGTCAAATGAACAGGTGTTTTTAAAAAAATGTATAAGTATATCATACTAAGATATAAATCTTGGCGTTAAAACTTATTGGCAACCTTTATAATACATAAACAAAAGCACTGTAGGATATCAATCATTTAAATATTACTGAACACTGTACAATTCAATGCACAAAATAAATGTATGTACATTTATTCAATACTTGTAACATACTGAATAATACCAGAAGCAGCATCTATTTCAGCATACTGAACATGTCCTATAATAGAACCACTATCAACAGTAGCAATTATTTGTCCTTCTTGTATATTATGTGTAGCTGCTAAAGCTTCAGTTAATATCTGATTCTCAGAGATATGGATAATATGATGTCCTTCGGTAATATTTTCATAGTCAGATAATCGAAGTTTCTTCGTGGGAGGCAAGCCAGCCCCATGCTGCTTTAACTTGTGTTCTTTAAGCTTATCAAAGCGTGTTGTACCAAACTGACAATCTTGAATGTCACACTTGATTGGTTTGTCATTTGAGTGCATTAACATGTGCCTTTTCATATTTTTAACTAAAGAGAAACTCTGTCCACACACTTCACATTGGTGAGGTTTTTCACCAGAATGTGTCAACATGTGATATTTTAGATTTTGTTTTTTGGTAGCTTGAAAATTACAGTTCAACACATCACACTTGTAAGTGTTACCTGAATGGATAAGTTTATGGGCTTTAAGCATACTTTTGTGAGCAGTTGCAAATCCACAAATGTCGCACAAATGGTCCTTAGTATCACTGTGTGTTATCATATGACTTTTTAAAGCATGCTTCCATTTAAATCCTGCATTACATGTTTCACAGACAAATGGCTTCACTACTGAATGTTTAGGCATGTGAGCATTTTGTTGTGCTTTATTCTTAAACCTAGTGTCACATTCCATACAAAAATAGGGAAATTCTCCTGTATGTTTTTCAATATGAAGCTGAAAGTCATTTTGATCAGTTGCTTGGTATTCACAGAAACTACACGTTAGTTCACTGTGAAGATGGGTTTTCATATGTTCTTTATATTCATTTTGTCTTTTAGTGGTAAATTCACATCTTGAACAAGATAATTCTTTTCTGGAAGAAAGGGCTATGGTATGGGTTGTGGATTTATGGTCTTTATATTCATCCATACTTCTAAATGTAAGGTTGCATGCTTTGCACATGTAACGTAACTTGGAGTGGATTTCGTTGTCTACCATTGGTTTGTTTTCTCTCTCTTCATCCTCTATTGCTTCTACTTTTTTCATTTTTAGCAGTGATGATTGGTGAGTTACATAATCTGGGTGGGCTTTGGCTTTTCTGACTCTTTTACTGTATCTAGTAGGCTTGGAATTTGTGGGCTCTGATTTAACAGCCTCTGGTAATAAAGATTCTTTCTCTTGATTATTGGGGGTGTGTGATTTATCAATGTCTTGTTCGTCACCTTGCTTATTAACTGTGGTTGAACAATCTCCCTGATTAAAAAGAATGCAAAGGTTTTCATCTTCAGGTTCTTCTTCTAAAACTGGTATTAGAATGGAACCAAAATTAATATCAGAATCTTCTTGTTTTTTTCTTGGTCTTCCCCTTTTCTTCAAAACCTTTTTCTTAAATGGATCCTCCTTTACATTCATAGGAACCTTATAATCAGGATCATTGACTTCATTATCACTTCCAATCTCATTGTCTTCTTCCGAGGCATTACCATTAGATTTTGATTCTGTCATAGTACTAACAGTTGATTTATTGATTAAATTATCAGGGCTATTCTCCATATCTTCACATGTTTCATCTTTTAAGTAGATTTCACAATATTCTAAAATTTTGTTCATTTGCATAATTTTAGCTATCTCAATTACTTGGTTTAAAACCTCATTTGTAATGTCTATTTTACTGGTATACATAAAGTCAACAACTTTCCGTACGGCTTCCCCGTATCCCTTTCCATCTCCGTCACTTCCATCAATATAAATTTCAATGATTTGTGGAGTTTTTTGAGAAAATGCCCGTGGCCAATCTTGACCACAGCCCAAAAATGAACTAAAATATTCACTCGCTGAAGATAGGATATTTGAATGAGCAAATATTTGTTCACCACAAACTTTGAGAACAACGTCACAAAATCTTGATAGCTTTCTCTGTTCATTTAATCCTTCCATTACTGCAGACGTTTGTTTTTTGTCGCAGTATGTTGCAAGAGGTTTGCTATTCTGCGCCATTTTGGAGGGAGCTGGCACAGATACTATTTTTATATCTGAAAACCCGGCCCGACCAGGTGCAAAAATGTGTAAAACTAATTTATTGTGTATATTAAAAACACAATATATCCAAAGGGGAGTTGAGAACTGCGAATACTGGTAGAAAATGTGAAATACTTTGTTCTTCTAAACCAATTTCTCCCCAGGATTTACTGCAGAATTCCGGAAATTATTTACCGGAAGTGACTTTGTTGACATTAAATTTCTTTTGACAGTAAAGTTTATGACTGAATGATTCAATGAACAAATTATTATATAACTCATGACAGTAGCTTTATTTGACCCTTTACTCAAGATTAATTTTTTGAAAAATGTCTAATTACAATCACGCAAATGAAGATATTTAATTACATGGTAATGTACAATGACAAAGTAAAGGGTCAAAGACAGAAGTGGAGGAGTGACAGTTGAGTTTAATAGTTGTTGGACATTTTGTTTCCAAGAAGTCTAAGATCCTAGTACTATATGTAACCTATGAAATAATGTCTAGATAAAACCTAACTTCTAACTCATGCAACAACTCATACACAATAATGTGACTTTAAATTGAACAGGATCTACAAAGGATAAATAGTATTAGTAGGCTAAAATTAGACATGAATGAGTGTCATTGTCAATAATACTACTATATATTGAAGTCAGGTTATGAGTCAGCATTGTTTTCCATATATGATTTTCCTCAATAAGCCCAGTGTTTTGTATGTCATTGATGTTGTGTTGCCAGATGTAAAACAACGACATTGTTCAAATGGTTCATACTACTTCAAACTCTTATGTCTTACACTAGAAGTCAGCTTATTTATATACATGTATTACATTAAATAATAAGGTTGTGTTTCAATATATAGTGATACATGTAAGTGAGGTCATGTCATTCCTGAAAAAATTGTCATCAAGAAGACCAGAGAGGTTTTTAGATAGTGTTGATATTGATCCACAGGAATTGGACCTTGCTGACGATCAAGATGAATTTATTGACGAGTTTGCGGGAACACTGAATTTAACATTACCAGATGATGATGTTAATAATGAAGGTGAAAAATTAAGTATTTATATGTATATCAAACAATTTCGTATACTGTTTCAAAATTTCAACATCAAACAAACAAGCCACAGGGAGGCTGACGTCCCTCACCTTGATCTGGCTTCAAATCTTCTATCTATTCTATATATATATTTGTGACCGTCGTTTGTCTTTCTGTCTGTCTGTTCGGGGTTGGCGGCTACACTAGGTCTGCCCCGAGTCTGAAATTTGGGGTATAGGGGTAGCTCGGACTGGGGAGTAACATAGGCCAGGTGGCGTTAGTCTACCACTTCCGGTTTCGGAGTTGTGACCCCCAAGCGAAGCCGGTCTGTTCGGGGTTGGCGGCTACACTAGGTCTGCCCCGAGTCTGAAATTTGGGGTATAGGGGTAGCTCGGACCGGGGAGTAACATAGGCCAGGTGCCGTTAGTCTACCACTTCCGGTTTCGGAGTTATGACCCCGGGGCGAAGCCTGGTATCCTGCTAGTAATTATTATTTTAAACATTTAGTCACATGACAAGCCTATAATCAACTATCTAGACCGGCGTTTCCCAACCTCTGGGTCGCAACCCAACTTGGGTCGCGAGCACTTTTCGTGGGGTCGCAGACTAGTCTGAGAACTTTAAAAAAAATGCTATCTTTTGATGTAATTTATCTATACATCTTCAATAGAAGGCTTGATCTCGCTTTAACTCCGTACATCTTATCAAGGCATTCACGTAACACTCTACAATCTACATTTTTCGTCAATAATTTCGATTGGTCTAGGACCCAGCTCTAAACCTCTCAGATTCCTCGATAGAAAATATCATCGCGGCGAATACCAAGTCTTGTGCTTTCCAACTGAAATATCTACCTGTGATAATCGAGTTGCAAAGTTGAAGGTTCGTTTAATGTCAAAGCTGCTGGAAATTTCCAAAAAAAAAGAGACTTGCCTCTGCCAATTTTGGTGCAAATAAATACTTCTCTAGTCCCTAAAACAGTTTCGATTGTTTTTCCGTGAGTTTTTCAAGTGAAAAAAAACCCCTTTAACGGCTGTAAACTTATCTATTCATTGAACATCTTCAGTCACTGATCGATCAGGTTGAACACTACTTCCCAAAGCTCGACGTCCAGTCATTCACCGTGGTCCGAGACCCATACAGTGCACCATTAGACGCCATCACCGACGATGATATCGCTCAAGAGGAGCTCGTGAGACTGCAGCAGGATTCCGGAGCTAAATCACTGTACAAGTCCTTGTCTTTGTCCAGTTACGGGGGATCACGTGGCTAAGTGGGTAAGACGCTGGCTCGCTAGCCTGGAGGTCGGGTGTTCGATCCCTGCATTGGTTGAGAAAGTTCATCCAGATTTTCCGGCGTGGTTTCCCCTTGTCAGTGATGCAGGACGGAGGGCCTGACAAGGAAAGCTGTCTAGTCATTCGGACTGGACGAAAAACCGAGGTCCGGTGTACACATTGGCGTGCAAGTAAAAGATCCCTTGACAGTTGGAATTTGATATAAGAGTAGGCCGTAGTGCCGCTGTCTGGGCAAAATTTCCCTCATAGCACACTGTATGGCGTATGCCCGTCTTCATTAGCCCAGTTCGGAGCACAACAGTAGGACGTTTGGAGCACAACAGTAGGACGTTAAACCCCATTTCATTTCATTTCATGTGTCCAGTTACTGGTGCAAAATGCTTGAATCCTATCCACGTCTATCCAAGAATGCAACACGGCTCCTCATGCCGTACCCGTCGTCATACCTATGCGAACAATCGTTTTCTACAATGGTTGTGATAAAAACAAAATTTAGGAACCGGCTTGAAATAGAAAGGGACATGATTGTCGCGCTGAGTGGCGTTGAGCCATGCATTGAAAACCTGGTCGCTGAAAAACAGGCACAACCATAACACTGATTAAAAAAATCAATAATTTGTTATCAGACTTTTAATAAGTAAACAATAATAAAAGTGAAAGATAATGATGTTTCATAATAAAATGTGACTTTGTTCTTCGAGGGGTCGCGATCTGATCCTGGGTCTGGAATGGGGTCGCCACCCAAAAAAGGATGGTAACCTATGATCTAGACCATTGGGTGACTGTCAAGTAACATGGCTATGATAATAAACGATCTGCGCTACATCTTCAAACAGTCATAACTTCACCAAGAATAAAGTAATTTGAATGAAATTTTCAATGTATATTAATTTTTTCGTAGTGTAACAGCAAGAAAGGTCAGCTCTTCATCTATATCTTACATAATACATTTTTGTCCCCCGCCTTTTGAAGAAAGCAGGGGACTATTAAAATCTGTCCGCCACACTATTTGGTACACATTTAACTCTCCTTTTGGTACACATTTAACTCTCCTTTTGGTACACATTTAACTCTCCTTTTAATTGAGCTAGAACGTTCAAACTTGGGGTAGGTGTTTATTAGGGCGATGCCTTGATGGAGTTCGAAGATGAGTATTTTCTGCTTAGAGTAACCAGAGATAAGCAATTTGATTGGTTGAGGATTTGGGACACAATAACTTTAGTTCAAATTAAGTGAGAGTGATTAAACTTGGTGTCTAGTTTCATTACATCAATACCTTGACTAAGTTCTGCTCAGGGTAAGCAGAGCGATAAGCAATTTGATTGGTCAAGACTTTGGGACACAATAACTCTTCTTCTAATTGAGCTAGAATGTTCAAACTTGGTGTAGTTGTTTATTAGGACGATACCTTGATGGAGTTCAAAGATGGGCATTTTCTGCTTATGGTAAGCATAGATAAGCAATTTGATTGGTTGATGCTTTTGAAAAAGATAAACATGCAATTAATTAATATGTGTCATCTATTTATTTCGAGATTTTGCGGGGACATCGTCCTCACTTTTGGTTTGTTAACAGAGTGAAGAGTCACTCGAGTTAGATACATGTACTACTATAAAATTTTGAAAGATTTTGGACTTTTTCGATTCATTAATTTTATTTGGACCGCAAACAACTTCCCTATCAAGAGAGATTTTAGAATGAAAAGCATGGACTTTACATGCATAGATGAAAACAAGGAAATAAAACATTATCACTTGATAACATAATCCTGTTCACTGATAAATTATTTTTATATAAATACAATGTTTGAAATAGGATGTGTATTTATGAAGTAAATATTATATTAGATAAACATTTAAATGTATTTTGATGTTAATATACATGTATCTATAAAATCAGTAGTTGGGGACTTTAGACCATTTTGTCAAAAATGGTGAATTGCACTCCAATGATCTATAATTCAGTCTTGTCACAGTTATATGTCAATCGCGATAACTGACATGGTGCAAGTAGACTTCATGACAGGCATGATCTTCAAAGAATCACACGAAATGAGAAATACATTAAATGGTTTCAATGGCATTTAGTAATTGAACTGGAAATACGCAGGTCACAATTCTATGGAATACAATTAGTGTTTATTACTTAGTGACGTGTCGGATAGGCTTCTCTAGTCTTTATCGTTGTGACCTGAGGAGAAATACCTTGTATAGCATTTAGTGTCTTTTTAGGAAAGTATGTTTTGTTTCATACATGAACAGACATATGTATTATTTAAAATGAAGTCAAAGATCATAAAGGAAGCCAAACTGTGAACTACACATGCCAATTCATATGTCAATTTGTTCTACTATCAATAACTATTGCATGTTAGTTTCTAAATATATATATATGTATTGTATTCAGTAAATAATTAACTGTTAGGCTTATAACTAAAGGAAAAAATTCATTATAAATTTAATAAGAGCAAAATTTACAGTATTGTCTCCATTTGATAAAAAAATTAGGTATGATTTTATTTTTAGATATCCGTGCCTCTCACATTTTACGCTTTAATGGAAGAAGAAATACTGGATGCAATGCTGTATTTGAAGTTATGTCAGCTGACATAGTGAAAGAAAATAGATCAAGTTATGTTGTAAGTAACAAATTATGGACTTACATGTAGACAATCAAATGTCATAATAAAAATAAAAAGTCTTCAAGCTCCGATATGGACATAGATAAGTAGATGTTGACTTCAATGTTAATTCTGGCCTCTTTGCCCACCTCCAAATTTTTCGTTGGGCTGAATGCTTTTCACTACAGACAGAGGAACAAATGGTCATGTCTTTGCACTAAAATTTGTATGAGGTTGGCCACCAAAATTTTGAGATACACAAACTTGAAGAAGCATACTAAAAGATGTAACTAGTAGCCAACCTGATAACCCTGTTATCCTTCCGCCTCAAAATCATGAATATTTACCAAAACCTGGCAGAAAATGTTAATTCAAACCCTCTTCATCCATTCTAGACCAAAAAATCAACAAAAATGGGCATACAAAAGGGGAGAAAAGAGACAGAGAGAATTGCTATAAATAGACGAACTACAATTTGTGGGTACCGAGATGGTGAAATTTAATGGTGGTCTGCCTCCATTCAATGCTATCAAGAGTTCCTTCCCTTACACTGTATTCATTCAAGTGCTAAACTGTTTCATACAGTAAATGGGTAATTACATGTCAAGTGGACCAGTGCTTGTAAAGTGAACCCCTCAGAAAATTATGAAAAAATAGATGTTGTAGTACATACAGTCTTATGTAAATCTGCAAGGGGGGTTGGATGTATCATAAGGTCTACCATTGAATCAACTGACATGACAACGAGTAGGGTTGCCTGTCCAACCTCATCGGTTTTCTCCAGGTAGTCCGGTTTCTTTCCACTGCTAAAGAACCCTATGCGCAAGAGAATTATTGAAATGAAATTAAACCATAATGTTAGTCCCGAAATGCTCTCTCGCCCCCCTCTCCTTCTCCTTCTCCCTCTCATTAATGATGTGATGTGACCAAACGAAAAATATGCCACAACCCTTTTTGACTGCCCGGACGACTTACCAGCTGTTGGCGTATGTTTTGTTGCCTGGGAACCTATCTTGTTTTATTATCCAGCACCGAACGAAGTTAGGGAGGGATATTGAAATGAGGTCCGTCTGTCCGTCCGTCCCGATTTTGTTTCCGGAGCATATCTCATAATATCTTTTTGAAACTTTGAACACACATCATCCTATTACAGTAGTTATGCCTTTTGCTAATTAGAAATTTGTCTGATTTTATAATTTTTGCGTTTCCATGGAAAAAAAAAATTCTCTGTTGAATGATTTTTACTACACATTTGAATTAGTTTTTGGTACATGTATATAATTATTATTCTAGAGCATATCTCAGAAACTGTTCAAGATACCTTTATAACACTTTTACATTCATCAACCTATTATTTTATTTTTTGATGACCTTCCTTCTGTCCCGATTTCATTTCTAGAGCATATTTCATCATCCGTTCAAAGAAATCTTTTTAAAACTTTATACAAACATCAAACTATTAAAGTATTTTATTTTCTGATGTATAAGCTTATTGTTTAACATACAGTAGCTGATTGAGATAGGCAAAGATTGTTGTGCAAACCTTACAGGGAGTAGCGACTGTGCCTTGCTGAGCTACTATGATCAGAGTATGAATCTTCTGACTAGTCCCATTGATATTCCAAGAAGTTGTTTTTCCTTATGCCTTCCAAACCAGTTCAAGGGCGCGGGATGGTGATGACTATATATATATAGTCATCTTGTTAAATTTGAACTATGATTTTTTTCAATTTTGCTAATTTGAATGGATTGATTATGTACTTCTAATTGCTAAATGTTTGGTGATTAAAAATGGTTTGATCTCTAGACATATTGTGTCGAGTATGTTTTGCGTAGATTTATTTCTAGAGTTTTGTTATAATAACTATTTGATAATTACTACATTATGATTTAGATCAGTGTTCAATTTTAACATGGACCTCCCTAACAGAAGGGCAACAACAGTGGTTAGCTAAATTAACTCCCTAAGTGCATGAGAACTTGTATGATCAGGTGCTTTATGAAGACAGCATACTGGATTCATGCTCAGCACCATTTAACTGTAACACCTTGACTAATTAGAAATCCTGTCTTCATTAGTCAAGTTGCTGCAAAACAATAGGAAGTTCATTTCACTACTTGCCAACTTGGTGTATTTAGTCCCAAAATGACCTAAATCTGTTTGTACAGTTTGATGTTAATCCTCCGTTAATTGGGATTAGAGCAATATACACAAGGATAATTAATTGGCAGTGGTTTCCATTCGTGGGCTACTGAACACTTTTAATTTTATTCCACCCGACAGTTTACATCACAACACGCACAGAGTTTCGTCGTGTCCAGGATTTTATGATTTAGCTCAAAATATGCTATTTTTCCGGTGTGCAAAATGACCTACAGGTCTCATCCAGTTCCAGTCATTTTTCACAGTCCTCGGTCCCGAGCGGCATATACGGCCGACATGGAATCCATGTTGTGAACCCTCTAGAGGTCACAATTTTCTTCTGCTTTTGATGAAACATGAAATGTAAGTTTATAACCCAAATTTCTTGGTTCTTTTCTATATTCGTGCATATCGTAACTTCCCGAATTATGGCCCCTGATTGTACGAAAAGTCGTGTTTTTAGCTTGTGGACCCTATAGCGGTCATAATTCTTATCTGATTTAAAAAAACGTTTGAATATATCACCATTACACCCTAATGATGGTTGAGTTAGAATTTCGTAAAAATCGAACCAAAACTGACAGACAAAATGGGTAAGCCTCGTTGTCAAAGAGAGTAAAAATATGGTATATCAATGTTGTGGACCCTCTAGAGGTCACAACTTTCTTTTGATTTTGATAAAACTTGAATGTAAGTTTATAATCCAAAGATCTTGGTTCCTTTTGATATTCGTACATATCGGATAGTAACTTCCAGAATTATGGCCCCTGATTGTACAAAAAATCGTGTTTTTAGCTTGAGGTCCCACTAGAGGTCACAATTTTTATCTGATTTAAAAAAAATGTGTGAATAATCGCGGATACCCGAACTTAACTTCCTGGATTATGGCCCCTGATTGTTCGAAAAATTGCATTTTTAGCTTGCAGATTCTCTAGAGGTCACAATTTTTTTTTCCGATTTAAAAACTATTTAAATATTTCACCATTCCACCATAATGAAGGTTGAATTCGAATTTCGGGAAAATCGAAATGAAACTGCCCAACAAAATGGCCGCTCTTTGTACGCAAATTGTGTAAAACTATGCAATACGAAGGTTGTCGACCCTCTAGAGGTCACAATTTTTATCTGATTCTGATGAAACCTAAAACATATACCTTTATATCCCAAAGATCTCAGTCCCTTTTGATATTTGCACATTTCAGACCGTAACTTTCTGGATTATTGCCTCAGATTGTACAAAAAATCCTGTTTGTTTTTAGTTTGTTCTCTATCCATCTCTTGCAAAATGTGGGCGTATCCTGCCGGACAGACGCTGGTTATCCTTCTTTGTATTCTCTTAATGGTATTTGAATGTCCTATCTATCAATAATCATTGTGATTGATAACAATAATAGAATACCTTTCGAAACGTGCTTCTAGAAGAAAACCAGTGATACTGATTGTTTCCCATATAAATTGAGTTCTATTAATGTGTTTCCCAATCGCTAAATGCCACTTAAAGATTAATAATCATGGTGTTACTGTTTTTTAATGTCCTAGTTATCAGTAATCATAGTGTTACTGTATTTTAATGCCCTAGTTATCAATAATCATGGTACTGTATTTTTCAGCTATATACAATACAAATTAGCAGTCATACTGGTGATATTGACATATCATGTATAGAACGCCGCTTTTCAGATTTTGAAAAATTAAATACCGTTCTAAGGAAGAGATTTCCTGATCAAATGGAAATGGTGGCTTTCCCTAGAAAAGTTTTGGTTGGTAATTTCAGACAGGCAACCATTGCAACAAGGAGCCGAGCATTTGAACAATATCTCAGCCATTTATATGCAATTTATCAAATTCGCTATTGTCGTGATTTTCTGGAGTTTTTCCTGCTGGATTTTCTGCGAGATGGCTACAAGCATCTTCAACAAGAGAGACACCGAGATGCAATAAAAAATCTAGAATATTGTCTTCCTATTACAGAAAAACTTTATGGCAATACAAATTCGACTGTGATTAACATTCTATGTGCTTTAGTTGTCTGTTACCAAAGTATTGAAAGACTAAGGATCGCTCAGAAATACAGCGAGGCCGCAGTATTATGTTTTGATGAAGATGACGGAGACGAGACATACATAGCTGTGTTAATTCAAGCGATACGTTTATCCTGGGAATTAGGAAAAGATAAGCAAGATCTGGAACTAAAGCTGCAAAAAATAAAAAACAAAAACATTGATGTAGAGACCATACCAGAGTTAAAACTCATATGTAAACAACGATGTCAGAGTATGTAAGATGTGTGATTTTGTTATGGTTGTCACAAATGTATAGGGCGAGGGCTTCCATGTATGTAATAATGATAGATGTAAGTATAGTACATGGGTAAAAGGTTTGAATGGCTTATTAAATGCATAGCAATTGTAAATTGGCATATATTTTCACAGATATAGCATGAAACATTGGATTCATTTAAAATCTATACTATCTTTACTTTAGTGTCCACGAACTTACCTAATTTTGTTAATCACTTGCCAAATTAACTGTGAAAAAAAAATGTATTTCACTGCTTACTTATGATGGCTTCTTATTGTTTTATTAGCATCTAGCTGGCATATATTAATTTCTACATGTCAAATCAGTACTTTTACATCCAGTAAGTCTATTTTGTTAAAGGGCATATTGTATGATACCTGGAACCTTGAAATAGACACTAAAAGCACACTAAGCCTCAAACAACCAGTATGGTTGTTACAATCAGTGCACACATCTTGTCAAACATTCAAAGACTAATATCTCCGCTCAGAATAAAGCAACATGAATGAAATTTTCAATATATTCTTTTTGCATTATCTATTTTTGAACTAGTATATCAAAATCTTACATAATGCTTCTTTAAGCATGCAAGCTGTGTATTTTTAAGTACTTACCCTGTCTATGATGATATTGTTGATGGATTTATGTTAGAAAGAAAGCAGGGGACTATTAAGATGGGTTCGTCCATCCATAACAATATTTCGATCAAAATAACTCTGCTCAAGCCCGTCAGAATGAATTTGTAATGTAAATAATTATTAAAAATATTTCACATAGTATGATCCTATAATGGACTTGCCTTCTCCACTTACTTAATTTCAAACTTTAGAATTATGTTTTTTATGAGTAGACAGTTGGGATTGAATTAGAGCACTTAGCACTATTTTCCTTCCAAAGTGGTCCTGCTTCTGCTTGTAATTCTGCTTGAGGCCACAATTTTTGACGGATCTTTTTCAAACTTTAGGATAATGGTTTTTATGAGTAGATGCCAGTTGGGATTGAAATTGTGGCCTCAAGCAGAATTACACTTGTCAAAGGACCATAACTCTGGAAGGAAAATAGTGTTGTCTACTCATAAACACAATAATTCTAAAATTTAAATGCAGTTGCTATTTTTGGTTTCAGAGTTATGGCACTTTTATTAGTGTAATTATGCTTGTCTGCTCCCCAGAAGGCACAATTTTTAACCAACCTTTTTTAAAACATTTTTGGTCCAGAGCTATGGTCCTTTAATTAGTGTGATTTTGCTTGTCTGCTCCCTAGAGGCCACAATTGTTGACAAATCTTTTTCAAACCTGGGTATAATGATTCTTATGGGTCGAAGACAGTTTGGAGTAGATTTGAGTGCAATCGCTTTTGTAGTTATGGTATAATAGCCTTTTTATTAGCATAATTTTTAACAAATCATTTTCAAACCTTAGGATAATGATTCTTATGAGCAGACAATTGAAATGAAATGGGGCTTAATTTCTTACTGTTCTGCTCCGACTGGGCTAATAAAGACAGGGATAAGCAGACAACAAATAGGATTGAATTTCAGTGCTTGTCCACTCTCTAGAGGTCACAACTTTAAATAAATCTTTTTCAAAACAGAGGATAATGATTATTATGAAGAGACCATAATTTGGATTGAATTGACCACCATCGCTATTTTCATTCCAGAGTTATGACCCTATGGGATAATGATTCTTATTAGTCGACTCAACGACAATTGAGATTGAATTTGAGTGCAATTGCTTTCTTCATTCCAGAGTTATGGTCCTTTAATTACCATATGTTAGTCCCGAAATGACCTAGTTTGTGTCGAGTGGACGTTAAACCCCATTTCTCTCTCTCTCTGAAGGGGGAGGGGGACTTGGTGGCCGTATGGTCAGCACATGCGCGCTGTATCATAAGGTCTGTCATTGATTCAGCTGGCGTGGTTGTATGTGACAAGGTCGCCTGTCCAGCTTCCGCGCTCTCTCTAATTAATGATGTGACCAAAAGCAAAATATGCGACAACCCTTGTTGACTGCCCGGACGACTTAGCTGCTGTAGGCGTATGTTTTGTTGCCTTAGAACCTACCTTGTTTTATTAAATTTGAATTATGATTTTTTTCATTTTTTGCTAATTTGAATGGGTTGATTATGTACTTCTAATTGCTAAATGTTTGATGGTTTGATCTCTAGACATATTGTGTCTAGTATGTTTTGCGTAGATTTATTTCTAGAGTTTTGGTATAATAACTATTTGATAATTACTACATTATGATTTAGATCCGTTTTCAATTTTAACATGGACCTCCCTAACAGAAGGGCAACAACAATGGTTAGCTAAATTAACTCCCCAAGTGCATGAAAACTTGTATGATCAGGTGCTTTATGAAGACAGCAGACTGGCTTCATGCTCAGCACCATTTACCTGTAACACCTTTACTAATTAGAAATCCTATCTTCATTAGTCTCTCTCTCTTCTCTCAAGGACATATAATTATTATTTTATGTTTCTGATGTTACAGGAGAAAATTATGTTTTTTGCCTCTGGAAAAAGTTCATATTTATTTATCATCAGAAGATAGGAGATGTGTAGGCTGTGAAATTTGAGACTTAAAATACATTTTTTTATTCGCAGACATTAAAATGTGGTCATATATTGCCATTTCACCTTCATTCATAGACAGACTACACTTATCATTCTATCTTTTTGAAATCCCCGTATGTTAATGATACTATACTATAAAGATAAAATTTCAACAATTTCTGTTACTTACTTACGGAGTCTTGATATACATTTGAAACTCCTATGGATTATTTAAAGCACCTTAGTCTTTAAGTCAATATTATTCACAGTCTTCGACATTGAAAACACAAATATTTGTCAATTTAAATCAACATTGATGTTGTGATCTTACCAGGAAAAGATGGACTTAAGACAAAATAAACATTTTACCACTGGTACACGAATTGTGTACCAGAATGCGTTTCAGCGCCATTTGTAACAAGGGACTCAAAGAAAGAGGCTAGACATATTCCACAAGTCATTTCAAATGGTGACACATATTCTTATCTGAAGACCATGCACAATAAATACTACCGGTGTAGACTGGAATAACAAGACACTAGAGATTGCCAGTCGATTGAGACTTCTGGCGTATTTCGCTGAACATAAATGATTTCAAATTAGAGTAGAAACGGAAATGATTGAATGTAAATTAGTTTATATACGTGCATTCATATTACATTATTAATATTAGATGCGTTGCAACACATTTGTGTCAATTTCTAGGTCCCAAATATTAGCAATTTAGCTCTTTTAAATTTATGGGAGAAAAAAAACCTATTGAATGTCAACAATTTTGTTAGTTACTTCTAGATTTATTGGCCTTGTTTCATTTGTAGAATTTGGAAACAATCTTAACAACAAAAGTTATCCCCCGATCTGTCTGCAATTTATGTGCATCATTAAAATTAGTGAAATGCGAAAACATATTGAATTTCAACAATTTTTATAATTACTTTTAGAGTTTTGACCTTTGTTCCAATCTGTATGAAATTTATATACATTATTCCGATTAACACCAAAACAATTTCCAGCTTATAAAAAAATCATTATACAAAATTTAATAAATAAACCTAAAGATAAACACAAAAAATTAACATGGAACACAATTACTATTTTAAAGATACATTACTAGGTACAAACTGGGTGATTTGATGATATATTTGGACTAAAAACATATTCAAACTAATTAATTTATCATAAATTTGCTTCAAATCCTTTTCAAAACATTGCACGTGACTTACCTCACTCTGTACCTAGCAACATAAGCGAAGTCGGAGGAGAATTCATTGCATGTGTGACCATGATAAATCAACAAATATTTACAAGAGAGAGATCCGATCTGTTCTAAACCATAGCTCACTCTATTTTTGAAATACAATTCTACAAAATATATAATAGACAATTATGACACATTGACAATTAAACTATAAAATATTGCTTCTTAGTTGAAATCTAAAACAATAGTTCGTTTTATAGAGAGTTTGGTTAATGACCAATACTTAATCCCTCCATTGTTTAGACTGTAATGCTCCATCTAAATTATATCTGACGTAATAGCCAGTGGCTAGTTTAATAAGGTTCTATAACCCAGGGGCCAGTTGATATTCCGTTGTAAAGAGTTAATTGACTATGTGTTTTTATAAGAACAATATATCACTCATGCCCGTGTCTGTTTAATTCAACACGTATCTTACTTGAGAAATAAATATGTAAATAAAATATATTTAAAATATATTAATGTTGTCAAAGATATGTTTACCAAAATGGGAAAAGTAACATTGGTTTTTAATATATAGAAATCATATGACTTATGTCGGTCATACATGCACAAGACGATGTTGTCTTTAATCACTGTCTATTTATTACAAATATCGAAGTCTAATTAAATTCTCAGATTATCCACTGCCCACCTTGTTTTCTGTGATTTTTATCTCAGAAAGTGTTGTACGTCTAATTCTTCATAAAGTTTATCAACATGTACATCAAGCGCTCAATCTCCGCGTGCAACCTTCGACGTCACGCGTGAAGACACTCCTAATCGTCGGGCTGTCGATTAGGGAAACCCTTACATTTTTGTCCTGTATGTGCTCTATGAGTGTTTTTCAGGGAAACCAGTATTTTTCTAGTAAGATTGGATATTTCTACTTTCCATATATACCAAAATTGTCAAACTTTTATTGGAAATAACCACCCGATAAATACTTTTCTGGGAACATAGCTTTAATTAAAGCAACTAATTAAGTAAAACTAAAAAAAAACATCTTTATCGGTTGATATATGAATAGTAAAAGGTAATTTATAAAATATGATTAATGTCTTATTAAATAAAGCAGATTGAGAAGTAATTTCAATATGAGAAGACTGTTCTGCTCCCATTCGTCAATTGTAGTAGTAATAATAATATATTTATGATGCACCTATTACCAATATAAATACTGTTCAATGGCACAGTTTACATTTTGTGGAGTTAAAAAAGTATAGATAAATAACACATAGAAAAATAAAATAAAAATTCACATTATTAAATGATTGATAAAAGAAATTAAAATGGCATACACTTATAATTAAAATATGGTTGTAAAAAATTAATAAGAAGATTATAATAAAATATGGCATGTGACTAACATGTATTAAAAGCGATAGTAGTCAACAAACAACAAAAAGGTTTTAAATTGTTTTAAACTTTCAATGCTATCAGATAGTTTAAGGTATTCAACAGAAAAGGAGATGGGTAGGAAAAAGAGCGTTTACCATAAGATGTAGAAGGATAAAAATGTGTAAGCAAATTGTTATTTTGAGATCGGAGTGTACAGGAAGGAGTATATAGTGAGATAAGTGATTTAAGGTAATCTGGTGAATTATCTGAATGTAATGTAGATTAAGTCAGTGTAAGTATTTTGAAAGTGATACGGTGTGATATAGGAAGCCAATGTAGATCATGTAAAACAGTAAAAATGTCAGTAATATGATTGGTAGGTTTAGTTTTGGTAATAATTTGTACTGCTTTATTCTAAGTTTTCTGGAGGAGAGACAATTTATTTGCAGGAAGACTACATAGTAGGGAATTAAAGTATTCCAAACGAGATGTAACAAGAGTATTCACAAGCAGTTTACAGGTTTCATTGTCAATAAAGTTTCTTATCCGAACTATTTTATATAGTTGAAAATTTGCTGATTTACAGACTGTTAGTTCTTCTCGACCTTGTGGCCACATTTGACACTATCGATGACCAAATTCTTCTAGACCACCTCCAGGCATCTTTTGGATTGGATGGTTGTGTGTTATTGTGGTTCGTCTATTACCTCACAGGTCGCAAACAGTTTATTTCAGTTCGCCATTCCTTCTCAATGGAGGTTTTGTTATCATGTGGTGTTCCCCAAGGAAGCGTGCTTGGTCCAATTCTGTTTACGTTGTACTCGTCAGAGTTAGGGAATCATATCAACATCACCTCTATGGAGATAACACACAACTGATAGAAAAGTTGGACCTGTCAGTTGAGCAGCGTGATATTTCCAATATCGAATGTTGTATTCAAGACATCAAAGCATGAACAAACATGGTTTTAACCACATAGTAGTTAAAGAATCCAAAAAACATGGATTTAACCCCATAGTAGTTAAAGAATCCAAAATTACTCTCTCCACATCAGTCAGAAATTTAGGTGTCCTCATAGATTTCAACTTAATTATGAACAGTCAAATCAATGATGTCAATGGATCTAGTGCAGATGAACAGGACATAACTACTTTTTTGATTTCACATGTTGTTACCTTTTCAAATTGGGACAATGAAGTACAGTTGGGGATCCTTTCTTCCAAAATATCAGATGTTTGGTTTTGAGATTGTAAATCATTCTGTATTTTATTTATTGTACACATTAGATGCCTCACTTTCTATACGCCCACATTGAAATGTGGTCGTATATTGTTGTCGCCCCCGTCCGTCTGAACGTCGTCCACAATTGCTTGTGGACGCTCTATAGGCTAAAGTTAAGATCCGATTGACTTTAAATTTATACAGTGTTTAAGGTCATGAGACGAAGAATCCTATTGATTTTCAGCAATTTTTGATAATTACTGCCAGAGTTATGGCCCTTGATCACTTAAAAAAATCTTGTGAACGCTCTAGAGGTCAAAGTTAATATCTGATTGATTTATACACGGTGTTTAAGGTCATGAGACGAAGAAGCCTATTGATTTTAAAACGATTTTCGATAATTACTGCCAGAGTTATGGCCCTTGATCACTTCAAAAAATCTTGTGGACGCTCTAGAGGTCAAAGTTAATATCTGATTGACTTTAAATTTATACACAGTCTTTAAGGTCATGAGACGAAGAAGTCTATTGATTTTAAGCGATTTCCGATAATTACTGTCAGAGTTATGGCCCTTGATCACTTTGAAAAATCTTGTGACGCTCTAAAGGCTACAGTTATAATCAGATTGACTTCAGATTGATACAGAGTTTAAGGTCTTGAGACAAACAAGTATATTGATTTTCAATGAATCTTTATGACTTGTACAGCTAAATCCATGATGTTAAAAGTTTGGTATACTAAACCTTAGCATGGGGCAGAACTTTATAAAAACCAAACAAATTCTAACGGTTTTCTGATAATTACTATAGAGTATTATAAATGTTTCATTACCGAAAAAAGTAAAAAATATGCGACAACTCTTGTTGACTGTCCGGACGATATAGCGGCTGTGGGCGTATGTTTCGTTGCCTGGCAACCTATCTTTGAAATCCTTATAGAACTTTAATAAGCTATGATAGGGGTTTTCTTTTTGTGCAATCTCATACATTAATAATGTAACTAAAAATACAAATTTTATTATAAGCTATCTGCATGGAATTGGATTTTTATTGCTTACGCACCTAACAGTGTGGATTTCACTGATTTCAATAAAATTGGATTACACAGTTTTTTTATGAATGGCTGCTGAGAAATATCCAATCTTATAGTAGGATGCTCCATCAGTATGCTAGGTTATGTTCCTGGTTAGCACAAACTTACATCATACTCTGTTAAGTTACTATGTCACTGTGAACATGCAGACATTATTTAAAAAAAAAAAAACCAAAAACTAGATTTACGAAGGCATTAATACCCAATATAAATCTTTATTCATGTCACTGTAAGCGGAACAAATATTGTGCGCAAGTATTGAGAAATTTGCTTAAAGAGAAAATGTGATTCAACTGTTAACAGTAAATTGTCTTTAAATTTATACACAGTGTTTAAGGTCATGAGCCAAAGAAGTCTTGATTTTCAATGATTTCTTCGAGATTTATGGCCACCATGATGATCACATTAAAAAGTTTTGAGGACACTCCGATTGGCTTGAAATTGATACACTTTGTTTATGTTGACAAGTTAAATTTCAACTACCAATATTTCCAATTATTATTGCCAGAGTTATAGCCATTGATCAATTAGAAAAATCTTGTGAACACACTAGATGCCGAAGTTATCATCTGATGAAAATTATTCACATGAAATTCATGAGACAAAAATAATGATTTTTAATGATTTACAATAATTACTGTCCAAGTTATAGCCTTTGATCTATTTGAAAAATATTGTAAACACACTTGAGGCTGGAGTGATCTGATTGAAATTTATTCACATAAAATTCATTTTCAGCAATCTACAATATCTTTCATGATGAGAATCTTTGGAGCACGTTATCCAAAATCAATAATTTCTTTGTTGTTAAATCTTTTAAAAATGGACATTGTATATGAACTGTAACCATTTTTTGCTGAGGAATTGTTTATAGTAAATATTGAAATAATGATAAAATAAGGTAAGGTAATAGAATATGTTAATACCTGCAGCTGAGACCTGTCACTTGAGGTTAAAAGTAAGCCAGTCGATTGTCCATGGAATAATCAAACATTTGTAACGTCTGTATAGTCTTAATTAAATATAACACTGTCTGCTTCCGTACTATAGTGTTGAAAATATTCTAAATATCAGTTTTTAAAATGTCAAACTGTCCAGCAGTTGCATTAATTTTACTTCAAAAACTCTTCTTAAAATGTCAAACTGTCCAACAGCTACATTAATTTACCTCCTCAAAATCTTCTTGAATGCTTTTGGCATCATAAGTGAAGGTATATGGTTCTAGACTTCGTGCTAGATTCAAATTTATGAAGAATTTAAGTCCAAACAAGTATTGAGTCACTAACTGAATACTACTCCAAAGCATATTGATATTTGTTTTTTTTTCTAAAATGATTTATCAGTCTAGAGATTTGTTTGAGTATCATTGACATTATAGCTAAAATACTGTCATCTATACGAACAAACATCATCATTCAACTGGAATCTCACAAAAGCTTACAAAACTAAATTTAGTGTCTTTAATTAAATTTTAATAACACTGTCATTTGTATTTAAATGCTAAACATGTGTCATGGGCATGGATTTTCATCTCGACCAACAGTCAATACAGGACAATCTGTATGGTGTTATATATTATATTCATAGGCAGTAATAATATTGTATATAAAAAAACAACTTTCATAAATGTTTCCAAGATACATTGCATTTGAGTAAGTTCACCTAGGTAATAGATTTCAGATCGCTTCGACATCCACTATTGATTATATCCTGCAAAAATATTTCTTTTGAATTTCTAGAAACATGGCGAAATAAACCCAATTGCAATCTTTCACCATTTTCTCATCTTCTGCTTTATTTAAGATACATAAAAACTAAATAAAAATTTGTATTATGTTTCCTCTAAAAGGAAAAATGTGTTTCTCATGTTTGAAATTTATATGTTGTGGATACATGAGATTTTGAAAAAAAATCTTGCATGACTGATATAAGATGGAACTAATTTTATTGATTATTTCACCAAAATTGGATAAATTTCTATTTATATTAAAATTTTAATCAAGTAGATCAGTGAGCTTGCCAATAAAATGCCTTTTTATTCAAAAATTCTGTGGCATTATGCTATACTATATTAAAGTGTGAGTCTTTTGACCTTCTGCGGTATAGCCTTTGAAGTAACTAGGTCTTCTTTTGTTAGATAATTTAATTTCTCCCTTGATGCTTATTTTTTATACTCAGGCTATCATTTATCAATTATGATTATATAACAGAAAAGCTAACCTTAATTCAGTTTTTAGCATTATGTTCCTTTCATAGAACTGAATAGCAAATTGAAGGCTATGTGGACAATTCAAATTCAAAAAAAGGTATTATGAAATAATGATTTTATAAAATTTGTAAATATATATTATACATGGTGGTTGTTAATATCACAAAACACTAGATAAACTATGATGGGATATAGACATTTTTTATATACTAAAATACGATGTTAACACATAAAATACATGTGTCATCTTTGTGAAAATATTCATTCTACTTAAGTTTTATAAATTTCGATGTTTTTGCATTAATCTAAAGTCAGATGTGACTTATGTTTTGTTTTATCTTGTGTATTATTTACTACAATGTGTAAAAACCAGAAGAAAACAAACCAAACATAAATGAACTCTGACTCTAGCTTAATGTTAAATTTTTTTTTTTTTTTTATTGTAGCATTCCATTATTTTATGTTAGATAATATTTATTATATTTATACATATATTTGTTTTCCAATATTGATATAAGTAAGTATATTTTGAATGTATATAATAGTTAATCATATATTATTTACTGTACATATATTTGATTATTTTGATATTATTATTTATATAATATATCAAATAGAAGTATTATTATCATCTTATGATATCTCATATAATTTTCTTTCTTGCCAAAATAATTTGATAAATTTTAAATTTTGTATTAGTAGCCTATTATTAATGATCATGTACTCATGACACTATATACAGAATAAAAGACTTGGTACTCTATCCCTTTTTGGAAATTTTCATTATTTTATTAAAATAAAATAAAACTAGAAATTCTTCAAATCATGATGTGTATCAAATGAGTCAGTAGTCACACAAATATTTGAATAATCAAATAAAGATAGTCAAGCAAAGAGTTGAATACACCCACAATGCAGCTTTGACTCAATTGCAGCTTATCCGAAATTTAGGCAATGGGGAGGAGATAAATCAGGAACAGAAGGCTGCAGACTATGAATATAGATAGAGATAGATGATCCAAATGCTTCAAGCCAAATATAAAAAATATCCATTACAATAAAATGCTGGCTTTTATCGTGTAGACATTAGACAAGCAGTGTGGATGGGTGACAGCAAAAAAGGGGCATAACTCTTAAAAATATAAATCAGATTTTGATGAAAAGAAATATGGAAACTTATCTTATCATAATACAAGCTTCCTGAAAGTTGAAAATGAATATTGTTTTGACAAAAAGAATCAAGGTTTCCTCGTGGTGTCACAATACAAGTGAATTTTATACGCCCACATTTTCATGTGAACATATATTTTCGTCGCCCCTATCTGTCCATCCACAATTGTTTGTGGACACTCTACAGGTCACAATTTTTATCCCATTTCAACGCAACTTGAAATATATAGGTTTATCTCCATAAGATCTCGTATCCTTTTGATATTGCCATGTATCTGACCGTAACTTCATGGATTAATGCCCCTGATTGTACGAAAAATCTTGTTTTTAGCTTGTGAACCCTATAGAGGTCACAATTTTTATCCGATTTTGTTGAAACTTGAAATGTAAGTTTATAACCCAAAGATCTTGGTTCCTGTCGATATTCATGCATATCGGATCGTAACTTCCTGAATTATGTCCCCTGATAGTATGAAAAATCGCGTTTTTAGCTTGTGGACCCTATAGCAGTCATAATTTTTATCTGATTTAACAAAACGTTCAATTATATCACTGTTACACCGTAATTTTTTTTGAGTTCGAATTTTGTGAAAATTGGGTCAAAACTGCCGGACAAAATGGACGCCCCTCGTACGCAAATAGTGTATAGCATCTGGTATATCAAGCTTGTGGACCCTCTAGAGGTCACAATTTTGAACTGATTTTGATGAGATTTGAAATTCATGTTTATAACCCAAAGATCTTTGTTCCTTTCGATAATCGCGCGTATCGGATTGTAACTTCCTGAATTATGGCCCTTGAATATACAAAAAATCACGTTTTTAGCTTGCCGTCCATGTAGAGGTCACAATTTTTATCCGATTTAAAAAAAATGTGAATATATCACCATTACACACTAAGAACTTGGTTCCTTTTGATAATCGCGTATATCCGATTGTAACTTCCTGGATTATGGCTCCTGATTGTTCTAAAAATCACATTTTTAGCTTGCCGATTCTCTAGAGGTCACAAATTTTTTTTCCGATTTTAAAAAACGTTTAAAGGACAATATTGGTGCCAGCCATTATCACATATGTGTTAGAGCTGGTTAAACACATTCCAAATATACATTTAACACAGAGATCATTGACTGCCACTAGATAAGAGAACACGTAATGAAAACAGAAAAAGTCCGTGCATTACCATGTTTTTATAGGGTATAGAATGAATATAAATAAGGAAATGTACGGACTATTTCTATTTTTCTCGTGTTCTCTTATCTAATGACATTCAATTACTTTATTGAATTGTCAGATATCCTCTTACAGTCCCATATAACAACTTTTGGTCTTGGAAGGAATTATTAGTGAGTAGAAATTCGGCCGTGTATCTGTTATCACTCGTCGCTTCAGTCAGTTATATAGAGCAGCGACTTGTGTTTTCCTTTGGCGTTCGTCACTTCCGATACGGGAAACCTGTATTACTCATCTATCGTAGCAATGATCTCTGTGTTAAAAATATATTTGGAATGTGTTTAACCAGCTCTAACACATATGTGATAATGACTGGCACCAATATTGTCCTTTAAATATTTCACCATTCCACCATAATGAAGGTTGAATTCGAATTTCGGGAAAATCAAAATGAAACTGCCCAACAAAATGGCCGCTCTTTGTACGCAAATTGTGTAAAAGTGTGCAATATGAAGGTTGTGGACCATAACTTTTGGATTATTGACCCTGATAGTACAAAAAATCCTGTTTGTTTTTAGCTTGTTCTCTATCCATCTCTTGCAAAATGTGGGCATATCCTGCCTGGCAGCCGCTGGTTTTAGTATTTGTTATCAACTAATTTGTAGAATTAAATCTTCTTTATTTTGCATCTCCTATGAAATATTTAATGATATTAATTCAATAAAATCAACAAATATCTTTTTATAATGTAAACAAGCAGATGAAAGAAAATATATTGATTGGAAAGATTTATATTTTACAGAAATCTGAAAAAGCACTCAAAACAGTCCAAATGGATCAAATATCTAAATAATGATTCAAAATAATTATAAATTGTTACAAGATCTACATTAGTAATCAGTAATTATGTCACATGTGATATATACCTAACTAGTATTTTCTAACAAAATAAACCATCAGCTTAAATATATAGTTCCACTTTAAAGTAGCTAAATCTCTAAATCAATATCATCCCAAGTCTTCAACATTGAAAACATGAATTATTTGTCAATTTAAACAACATTGATGCTGTGATCTTACCGGGAAAAGCTGGACTTCTGATATCCAATATTTAAGACAAAATAGACATTTTAGCATTGGTAAACGAATCGTGTACCATAATGCATTTCAGCGTCATTTGGAACAAGGGACTTGAAGAACAAGGCTAGACATATTCCACAAGTCATGTCAAACGGTGACCTCATATTCTTATCTGGAATGTTAATCAGTTTTTATACATTCATATTATACTCTTCAAAAAAAGTAGGGGATATTGAAATGCAAATACCTATGAGGGTTGTGATATGATAAATAGTCATAGACATTTGACATGCTTTGAGAGTATGTTCACAGATGAAAAACTTATCGCCCCAACAGAACCACTGAGCTGTACATGCAACATTCAATAGCGCCATACACGTGGGAGGGGTTCATTGTCAAATTTGACACTTCAAGGAAGGGTTGATGAAAACTGCTGTGTGCTGGTTTATCCTATCCATGTTTGCTTTCCTATTGGTTCTTGCATAAGATTCACTGTTTAGTGTATCTTTGCTTTAGTGTGTTACATTTAATTTGCAATGAGACATCTTCAACATGATAAACGTCTACATGCTATTGGCATGCTTCAGACCTCGTTCAGGTCGTTCTAGAACCACTACACAAGCCCAGGATCGATACATTCGTACACGGCCAATCAGCTTTCTGTAAACTTGTACCAAGTTACAGGAATTCGAGTTGACCTATTCAAAATTGGCATTAGGTATCACTTGGTAAAAAAAAAAAAGAAAATCGAATGATAATTGACTCTTTTACAGGCAAAATAAAGCCAAAAATGACGCATGCAAAACTGATATTTCTCGGCAACTGCTCATATTACAAACTAATTTTGACATAGATTGTCTTTATATGGATATATGCTACAAGTTTGTAAACATTACATAGAAATATTTTAAAATATAAAATCTTGAATGGGTTGTAAATTGCTTAAATTTATGCACTTTTTCACCTTTAAATCGAAATGGCGCAAACACAAAACCCGAATTAACAAAATTGAGGTTAACATTTTTTGCCCTTGTCATAGTCATTCTTCTTGATCTATCAGATTTGTAAAAATTAATATTTGCTTCCGAAAAGACAGGTGAAATTTGTAAATTCTGGCAATATCACCCTACTTGTGTCGACAGAAATCTTTATCATGATCAAAAAAGTTGAGAATTTGCATCATGAAACATGAAACTTTTTTTGATACATATCAGGCAATAAATAATTAACCTAGAATTCATAAAATGAAATTAAAAATGATAAAAAATCTTAAAGATAGGTTGCCAAGCAACGAAACATACGCCCACAGCAGCTATATCATCCAGGCAACAAGAGTTGTCGATATTTTTACTCATGTGTCGGTAATGAAACATTTATAATACATTAAAATCTGATTAAGAGTAACAACTCATTAAGTAATTATCAGAAAACCATAAGAATTTGTTTGGTTTTTATAAAGTTTTGCCCCATGCTAACGTTTAGTACACGAAACTTTTAGCATCATGGATTTAGCTGTTCAAGTCATAAAGATTCATTGAAAATCAATACACTTGTTCGTCTCAAGACCTTAAACTCTGTGTATCAATCTGAAGTCAAAGTGATCAAGGGCCATAACTTTGGCAGTAATTATCGGAAATCGCTGAAAATCAATATGCTTCTTCCTCTCATGACCTTATACACTGTGTATAAATTTAAAGTCAATTGGATATTAACTTTAGCCTCTAGAGCATCCACAAGATTTTTCAAAGTGATCAAGGGCCATAACTCTGGCAGTAATTATCGGAAATCACTGAAAATCAATAGGCTTCTTCATCTCAAGACCTTAAACTCTGTGTATCAATCGGAAGTCAATCGGACGATAACTTTAGCCTCTAGAGTGTCACAAGATTTTTCAAAGTGATCAAGGGCCATAACTTTGGCAGTAATTATCGGAAATCGTTAAACACTGTGTATAAATTTAAAGTCAATCAGATATTAACTTTGACCTTTAGAGCGTCCACAAGATTTTTTTGAAGTGATCAAGGGCCATAACTCTGGCAGTAATTATCGAAAATCGCTGAAAATCAATAGGCTTCTTCATCTCATGACCGTAAACACTGTGTATAAATTTAAAAGCAATCGGATATTAATTTTAGCCTCTGGAGCGTCCACAATTGCTTGGGCGGACGGACGGGGCGACAACAATATACGACCACATTTCAATGTTGGCGTATACAAATTAAAAGACTTCTTTGTCTCATGAGCATGTGTACAGAACACTGCTCACATAGTCAATATAT